GCAGTCGGGTTCACATCGGTAACCGCGTACTCTGAGTGCGGTTTACGGTACTGGGTATTCTCCCCCGCGCGGTGGGCTCCGTTCGATACGTCTGACATGTCGTGCGGAGCGCACAGTCGGCGGCCGCCCAACCGCGGGCCCGACTGTTCGGAGTCGCCGTCCACCGGCGGTGACCGGACAAGGGCGAGCGCGACGTGCTCAATGGTGTGTATGACACGGCCTTGATCTTCATCGTCCTCCACCAGAGACAGGATGCCCCGAAGGGGTTTGGTATCACGGCTCTCCGTCGTGGTGCCTGACTTGCCCACGCAGCCCAGACTCGACAGCGGTTCCGTGTGCATCGCCGCGCCGTCGTTGTTTGGTTAACGCTCTCCTTTTGGCTCTATCGCACCCGCTACTGTTAAAAGTCCCTCTTTAAAAAAGGGGGGCTGCACCGGCAGAGAAGAGAAACAGAACAAACGGGAGATGAAAATAGAAACAAAGTCGGCACAGTACGTGTTATTCCAAACGATCTCTCACGACGGTATTCGCGACGGTGTTGGCTCACCGGCTTCTGGCACGTTTCTAAGCGTTCCAGCAGTATAAGAAGGAAGGAGTAGAAGAACAGAAGAACAGAAGAACAGATTTTCCAGGCAACGGCGAGTCATGAAACGCACAACAACAATAATAATGATAATGAGAGGTCGTGGGTTTCTGAACAAACCAAAACTAGGGAAATGCTTGGAAGAAAAAGAAAGGAAGAAAAAAATGCAGTCGATAACTACACACAGTGCCGTTTCCGTTAGTTGGTATAAACGTAAAAAATAATTACTTATATGTGTATGTATATCTATAGAGAGGGAGAGAGGGAGAGAGGGAGAGAGGGAGAGAGGGAGAGAGGGCAAAGACAGAGGCTGGGGCGCCAGTTTAGGTGAAGTAGGGAGCAAACAAACAAAGGAGAAAAGAAAAAAGAAAAGGCGAAACACAAAGAAGAGGGGGTTTATGTCTGTTTAGCTGGGCGAAAGGAATAACCTGGAAGGGGAAATATATATATATATATATATATATATATATATAGGAGAGA